CTCTCAAAGGAATTTGTTTATAGGAAACAAAAGCACAGAATCTCAACTTTACATTGATTTAGAAAATGTGGCACCATTATCTAGAGGAAAAGTCAAAATTGATCCAACTTCATTAACGGCTTGGTCATGCAGAGATGATATAAAATGAGATGTTAAAATAAAGAACAGTAATTTCAATGTCGTATCAAATAATACAATTTTGAACAGAGCAAACATGAACCTTTGAAATCAAAGGTGATCAGATCAGGTGGTTCAGCGTGTGAGCATACCCATTACGACTTGTTGTTACAGTTAATGTGACGTACTGTCATGTTCGGGAAAACGGAAAATTTATTGTAAAATAATGGCCTTACAATTTGTATGAAGATGTTTTCAAACACCATTTCTCAATGTACTCTCTTCTAGTTAACATGACGATCCAATTTTAATTAAAATTATTTTAAGTTTATTTCTGACGCCAGCTGAGAAAATTACAACTGTGGAAATTTACTGTTTATAATGTAATGAAATAAATCTATAAATGAGCATATTTTTTCTCCTATTATACATTATTTCTTTTCAGGGGGAAAAGGGTTGTATTATTGGTATAAGGTATAACATTATATAATTAATTACCCCTTGTGAGGTCAACATGGTGAAATAAGGACCCGAGACCTGGCCCACGAGGTGACCTGACCTGACCGAGGCCGCGTAGCGGCCGAGGTCAGGGCAGGTCATCGAGTGGGTCAGGTCGAGGGTCCTTATTTCACCATGTTGAACTCACAAGGGGTAATTAATTGTTTTATTATACCGATATATATTGAAAAGTATGAATCTCTAACCGTTATCAATTCTTTCTTTGATCGGGATCGGGATTCGGTACAGACCGGATAGTGAAGTTGTTTACATTAATGTCTGCAAGTCGTGTAAGTTTTTGCATTATGATTTACTGATTAAAACAATATTTGGTTCATAGCGACATGCATTGTTATAACTAACGATTACTTTTCCTCTACACAGTCAAAATCTTACACAGAATTCAACTCTTTAAAGAGCCGCCGCTACATCCCATGAACTGAATTGTAACGAAATATTGAATCGATAAAATTTTACCGTATTCTGTATGGTAATGCAAAACAGACCATGCACAATTTTAAAAACATGTTGTTTTTTTCGAATAATTATTATCTTATGAATTTACTTCACTCAAAAACGAATTTTTGATTAAGCGGTCATTTTTAGCGGTCATTAAAAATAATGACCTGGTCATTATATCCCACGTGCAATGATTCCTAGGTCAGAATTGCTTTAAACTGTACCATTTGGAGTCATTGTTGTGTTTTAGAGTTCTCTTACCAGCCAATCAAATTCAAGTATTATCAATAGAGGTATAATAAACCTTTTTATTTCATTATTTAAACTTTGAAGCTTTCAGAAATAAAGACTTCATATCATACGCTGTTTGATTTTTCCCATATAATTTTGATTAACAAGAACATTCCTACCAAAACCAGTTTTTGCATCAAAAAATGACACGAAGTCATTATTCTACGGGTAAATTTTCTACATTCCACACAGAGAGATTGTCCCCAAGACGTTTCTGCGAAAACGTGGATCATCTTCCTACATGGAATATTGACGAGGGGGTCAATTTTCTACGTTGTAAAATGCCCCGGGTCAATATTCTACATCGTTAAACTTGCAACCAATGCCGTCCACGGACACTAAGTCCGTACATGGACAAAAGTCCTGCCCTTAAAGCTTCGTGGGGAAGGTTGAAAACTCTTCAGTTACGGCAACACCTTCCGTCCACGGGCACAAAATTTGTAAATGGTTACTAAGTCCTTACTCTAAGACTTTTGAATTAGGTCGCCGAACACCAGAGACACTACGCTGCCACCAAATTTGTAACCTGATCGGTCACCCATCCAATTCTGGGTTGAACACACTCGTCGTTGCTTAACCTGCCTGAAATAGAGGGATATTCAACCGCTTTAATAGAAAAGCTAGCTCACTACCAATGCAGGATGTGTTCCTGATATACCCTCCGTAACAGGTACATATCATACTGATAAATAGTAGAAAGTGATGCTATAGATAAACAGGGTTGTCCTATGCTTTGCAGTCAGGACCATTGAGCAGGAAGGAATCTTTTCCGTACCAGAACTAACTGCGACATGGCACCTCAGTTTATCATCCGAAGGACGGGTCTCCACGTCCCTACAGTGGGATTTGTGCCAGCGACGCAAGAATAAATTCCTTATATTGCGGCTCTGGAGCAGACACTCAAAACTCTGCTTTAACCACCACTGTAAACGCGGTCGACAATGTACAATGATGTTTACGGGTATAAGAGAAACGATACGCAATTTTTGGTCCCCCGCTTAAAAAGCGGGGGATATTAATTTTGGTCTGTCCGTCCGTTTGTCCGTCCCTCTTTCTGTCTGTATGTATGTATCGCTTTCGTTTCCACATGATATCTCGAGAACCCTTTGAGCTTTCACAATGAAACTTTGCATATCAACTCTCTATGGACTAAAAAAGAACAATATTGATTTTGGGGTCAAAAGGTCAAGGTCATAAATTCGCAAATTCTGTCTGGTATAACACTTTTGTTTCCGAGCGATATCTCGAGAACCCTTTGAGTTTTGCAATGAAATTTTGCATAACAACTCCCTTTGGCCTAAGGAAGACCCCTATTTTCTTGGAGGTCAAAAGATCAAAGTTCAAGGTCCTAAATTTAATAATTATGTCTATGTGTATGTATGTATGTGTAACACTATCCTTTCCAGGCTTTATTTCAAGAGGATTTTGAGCTTTTGCAATGAAATTTTATACCACCCTAGGACCTCTTTCATGCACCCCTCCCAAAATGTCCCGCCCCGTTTGTTTTATCAGTATTTATTGTATTACCTGTCGTTATTTTTAGCACAGGCATGAGGAGAGTTATTACGAATAAAACAGGTTCTGGGCGGACTTGATATTCTTATTACATTAGAGTTGTTTAATAAAGGTTAAATAAAAAAAAATTGTGTAAAATTTTAACAATATATATATATATATATATATATATATATATATATATATATATATATATATATATATATATATATATATATATATATATATATATATATATATATATATATATATATATATATATATATATATAAATACATATAGTTTCAAAACAAAATGAAGAATCGGTACAGTTTTTGGTATATTTAAAAGTAAAAATCCAAAAATATCACAAAACATTTACTGCAAGCGCTTTCGCCATGTTCGGCTGTTCAGGCAGTTATACAAATGTCAGGTAGGTTACCTGGTAACGTCAAACGCATAAAGTTCATTGTGACGTCATAATAGATGTAGGTAGCGTTAAGTTGGCGTAATCGTTAATGTACAAATCTTGCACTAACTTTCACACATTATACATATAAAATTTCAAAATATAAAATATATATATAGTATCATTTACGATTAAGTTTGGGTATAAAGAGGTTGATAAAATAGTCTTCCTTTGCCAAACGTAAATTTTCGTTTTCATTTGGAAGTTTATAAAAAGGGAAAATCTTAAATATTCCTTTGCCACATTTTGCGAAATGTTCACAACACGGTGTATTACGCACACTAGGGTCTTTAATTTGCTGTATGTGCACACATGAACTTTATGCTTTTGACGTTACCAGGTAACCTACCTGACATTTGTATAACTGTCTGAAGAGCCGAACATGGCGAAAGCGCTTGCAGTAAATGTTTTGTGATATTTTGGGATTTTTACTTTTTACAGTGTAAAGCAGTTTCGTGGTCTAGTTGTATGTCTCTCGCTTCACATGTGAAAAGTCCCGGGTTCGTATCCCGGACGATCCATATTCTTTTTTTTTAAGTTATAGTATTCAGCATGTGAAATGAAAAAAATTATGAGGTCTGGCTTGTACAAACTCCTTAAATCATCATTACAGTGTGATAAATTTTCCATATAGAAAGAATCTTCTCTACACATATAAAGAATAAGCAATCAAATCTTTATGTGCATATTGACATATATGTATTTTATTTGTTTCAGTATACATGTATACATTTAAATATTCTACGAATTCAGTCGGGGGATCCGACTTTTTCCCTAAGCGGGGGACACGAATTCTCTGAATTAGCTTGTTTTTTTTTATCTGTTTGATCACATTCTTAACTGTAATGTAATCGGTATCGTATTTGATCATGCCTACTCTTAATCAGAGGGATATTTGAAAACGGCTCAGTCGGTAGAGCGCTCGCTCCGTGATCGGGAGGCCGTGAGTTCGAATCTCGATCAGCCTTGACTGACCTCAGTCGATAAAAATGGGTAGCAACTGTTCCTTCGCCATGCGCTCGGCACTTTGAAGTGAAATTTGCGGGTCCTTCGGATGAGACCTTAAAAACAGAGACCCCGTGTCAGCGGCAGGCGTTGGCACAATACACATCCCTCACTGCTCAATGGCACTGAGTGCCGTCTCCATATGCGTGAAAAATTCTCGAAAGGGACGTTAAACAAAATACAATCAATCAATCTTGTCCATGAAATCCCCTCATTTCCAGTGCTCGTAATCCATGGAAAATTCCAGATTTAATAAATGTATCTTTAACTTCAAACATTTACTCGATCTTACCTCATGTCAAGAAACATGGCTGGTAGATCTATGTTTCATTTATTACTTCCCGTCGCTTCCAATCACTTCCGTTACTACGGTTGTATTATTGCACAGTAAATTTGAACTCATAAAAAAGCAACACAATTTTACATCCAAAGTTGTTTAATTATTTTAACATTAAATTATAACAAATGGCTCTAATTCTTGGTCAAATTATCTAGTATTATCTGTTTTAGGTCAGTTTACGCTTTTTTATGATCCACTGAATGCAAATAAATAGCTTTATCAATTGATCTAAACCATTTTGACGTTTCTTTACTTTCTGAAGCTAAATAATTTCAATGTAAATGCTCCTTCAAATACACCAAATAATGTCAGATAAAAATTTTCCTGTGTCATAATATTTTTGAAATATCAGGACTTATATCTAACACCCAATATTTCATACACTTTTCTATAGAATCACACAGCAGCTTAATCTTTCATTGAGTGTTAAGAGGCTTGCATCTCGTGGGGATTGCCCTTTAAATGCTTCATTTGTAGCACGTTCTATGGATGCGTTATGATTAAGATGAGGCATTGATTTTTGTAAATCTTTTGCATCTTTCAAAATTATTCGATAGGCTTTTTCGTACAAAGGGTGTTCATAAAAAGGAGTTCTTCTGTTCCCGCTGATAACATTCTCCAGCAGCTCCTCAAAATTTACAACTAACGCTCTATCAACATTTCTATTATTTCCAAAACTAAGATATCTGTTGTTACATTGGTTACACAAGTTTTTCATTTCTCTTGATTCATCAATCATGGATTGAAGCTGATCAGGTTCTGCGTGAGTAAACACTATTATAGCATAATTTGATGCATCTTCTTTGAGTAGTTCCCAAAACTCTCGAAACATCTCCATATCAGAATCTTGTAATCTCTGATCAGCTGAAATCACGAAAATAATGGCATGAAATCCGGGAGATGTTACAAATAAACATCTCTTCAAGTTTTTGAGAAACCTCTTCTTATCCTGTTGTAAACCCATAGCACCAGGTGTATCACAGACCACATATTGCTTTCCATTCCTTATAATGTTTTTGAAATCACATTCTTCTGTCACAGGCCTAAAACTTTTTCTACTTTCAAAAACTTCATTGCCTATTATAGCATTTCCAGTGGCACTTTTTCCTGCTCCGACTTTTCCTAGAAGAAGAATTCTTCTCACTTGAATAGGATCTATAGCGATTGAAATCAAAATTATCAATTTAGCTATATACATTCAGTGATTTATTCAGGTTTAGCACAGGAAAATGAACAAAATATGATTCTTTACTTTCAAACATTGAAATTAACATATCAAGTTTATTTTTCCTCTTCGAGCAATTTTATACATATCAGCTTTCTTAAATTATAGACCTATTTTTCTGTTGTTATACATTGATTTAAAGAAAACGATTTAACTATTGGTAAGTAACTAGATGTAATACTGTTGGGAAATATTTGAAGCTAACCTGTATGTAAAGTGATATCCGCCATGCTTTGCACAAAATCAGAGCCCCCTTTGAAAAAGAAATCGTCAGTGTTAATATCCAGATACATGCAATGGTAAATATCATTACGCATGAAATATGGTAGTTAAAATCAAGAATTTTAAAATTAAAAGTTGATATGTCATCTGAAATGTCGCTTTTAATGTGTGTTCATAATTTAGAGGTATGGAGTTTCGAAAATTTAGCCAAACCAAAATACTTTCAAATTCAACGAGCGTATTTGGGTATAATTTATATCGTTGCAATAAAGCTGACATGACTCCTTAATTAAAACACATTTTCATCCTTGTACTACTTAATATATCAACAATCAACGAGGAACGGAAAGCGAACATAAAAGCGGAAAGGAAGGGGAAACCAGGATAAATATTTGTTAAATCACATCACAAATATATAATTCATACCAACAAGAGGCCTATGGTCAACTAGGCTCACATGAATAGTACTGTTTTCTTGAAAATTTCTGCTTTGTACATATGACACCTATTTTGACCCACATTAAGACCCTTGGGTCATGATTTTTTTTAATTTGAAATTTACACTACTTAAGAATGTTTTCACATAAGATGCAACTTTTCTATCACCGTGGTTCCTGAAAAAAAAAAGATTTTTAGAAAAAGAATTCACTATATTTCAATTTATAGTTGCTTTCCCTTTCCTTCTACCTCCGGGGGTCATGATTTGAAGAATTTAGAATCTACACTTTTCAAGAACGGCTCCACATAAGTAAAATATTTTCGAGCCCATTGGTTCTTTAGAAGATTTTAAAAGATTTTTCCTATATTTTTCAATGTAAAAGAACAAGGTACAACTTCAATACAAATTAAGCCCTGTACTTTTCTAAAAATTGAAAGTGATATAAGAAATTAAATTCATTCTTTCTGAATCGTAGTAATTCCTTGAAGTAAGAATACACCAATCGTTTTCCTCATATGACCTCCTAAATGCCTTTTGTGATATCATTAACATGTGTATTTTTCCTTATTTTCTTAAAAAATTGCAGAAGACAGCAATTTTCAGTCTTTCAGAAAATAACTCGCCCACAGAGATGTTGATATATGTGATTTTTTCAAAGCAGTTTACATAATATATCCAAAAATTGAAGTGGGCGACGGTGGCAGACACTATTTTCAAAAGATTAATAAGCACAGAAATTATTCATTTTTAGGCTTCTCTGCATTAAACTTAAAAATGTACCAGAGTAATGACGTCATATTTCTAGAATGGTACTCATTCATGTCATATTTTTTTTATGATTCATCATATTCATCTACTCAACTTTTGTTGTAGCCGATTTCATAACTTTTTAAGAACATTAATTTTTTAGGGCACAATGATCCCAAACCGTACCTTCTTTTTTGGATCTCCAAATGTTGCCCCGCTTTATTCTCGATTGATGATTTGAATACTTTAGAATCTACAGTACCTGAGGATACTTCCACAAAAGTTTGAGCTTTTCTTGCCCAGTTGTTCTTGTGGAAAAAAGATTTCGAAATATTGACCAATATATTTGAATGTAAAACTTGGTTTCTCTGTTATGGAGGAGTCCTAAGTCCAAGGGTAATAATTTTAAATCTAAACTAGCCCAAGGATGCTTCCATATAAGTATTTCAACATTTTTTACCATTGTGGATCATCAGAAGAGTTATGAAGTTTTTTTTATATTTCATGTAAAATTTCGTTTCCATTATATGATCACGCTCTATCCCGGGGAAATGATTTTATCTTTTAAGTGTTTTCCGGGAAATACTAAGAGGCCACTAGCATGAAAAATAGGTCATTGCCCTAGTTATTTGAAATTGAAATTTAACTGTACAATTTGCAATAGGTATTTTTCGTTCTTATCAGTGAATTTTTTAGTCCTCTGAGTAAAAGTATACCGTTAGTCAAAATCTTCATGCTGTACTTAAATATTATAAAAGGCAAAGGGATCAATATTGAGATGTGTTTCAATTTTGATATTTGCAAAGTTTTAGTTTTAAATGGCAATAAAATAATTACTCAAACCAAAGACAGCATTGCAATAAATTCCAGGAATGACTTTGTCATCACCGTAGTACAAGATGTTTAACTTTATATCAGTCCAATATAAAAATGCGCTTTAAGGTCTTTGTCCGATTCTAGCAGAATAATTGTACTTAACATCCTCACTTTGGAGTTTTATGAAAAGACTTACTTTTACATTCGATAGCTGACTTTTACATTTTAGTAATTGGAGTTTGTCTCTGTAAAAATTGTAGAAGTCAGTCGTCAATTGTAAAAGTAAGTCTCTTCATAAAACTCTTTAAATAACATGCAACTTAAAAAAAATTATAAAATGAAATAACAAAATTAAAAAAAACAGGAGATAAGAAGCATTTGAGTGTTCTTACCCTCTGCCATATTCCTTATTTAGACCAGGTTCCAAGATTAAGCTAATAACAGAAAAAGACCCGCTCCTTCCTATGTGTATTTAGAGTTCTGGTTTTTCATACAAAGAACAGAAGTCCCTTTAACAGTAAAAAAAAACCCAGCAATCCTGCATGCGCACTTTACATTTTTACATAATAAAATAGGATAAGGACGGCACATATCCTTTTTTAGCGGAATGGCGAGAACAGGAATGAAATCAGTAAATATCTGTTGTAAATCTTTATAAATACATCCATTTTTGTATGATGTCTATTTTTTCAATGATACTCTTGTATTCATGTAACACATTTAAGGATGACAAGCACGTTTATTGCTCAAACACCTGACCCAAACAATAATTATTTTTGTAAAAATACAATGTTAATAACGTCATATATTTTAAATAACCTTTTCAATAATTATAAATAATATGTATATATTCCTATATCATACGTTAAATATCACCATCATATTTAAGTTTGATTACGTAACGTTTTTTAATAAGCAAGAACTATTTAATTTGCTTACTTTTCACTTACGGTATGGAACGAAAAGAAAGAAATAGAAGTATTAAATATCCCAGAGTGATATTAAAGAAATGAATTTTTGTAATGCAACATTTTCCCTGAAGACCTTAATTACATGTACATAAAACATGCATAAGAGGAATCCAATTCATGCCGAAATTAACAACGAAGACTTCATGACATAGATCTATCTCAAAATAAATAAACTTTTAAAAGTTTAAAAAGTTTAAACACATTTGAAAAAGGAAAGATTCTTTTTAATGTTAACATTTTAAGAACACAAATTTTCCTTTTTAAAGCTTTACCCATTGGTGAAAGCGGATCTGAAAAAAAGTTCCACAATAAATAGTCTTATGGCAAAAAAAGAAGCTAAAACAGGTAAAACTTTTTGCAGAAACGGAAGGAGATAGCGCCTTTCACCGGCAAATGTCCATTTGATATCATAATAGGTATATTTATCAAATCATTTATTACATGACTAATCATTCATGAATTGAAAATTACTGTTTACTTAGTATTTGAAAAATACTTCAGGTCAAAAACATAGGAAGTCGATATATAATGTCTTTCTGCTGTTAAGTAAGAAGCCCAAAGTACGGAAAAAATTGTCAGCCCTCAAAAAGATACATCAAACGTGAAGACGCAAAATCCAGAGAGACTAGATTGCAAAGAAAAGCTTTAAATGATACAGATAAAGACACATCAGATAAAGGAAACGATCATACGGTTAAAGTTTCTTGTGAGGAAAAAATAGAAAATAATTGTTCAAGCTTAAAAATGAACACAAGAGAGTCTTCTTGAAGTGATAACCTTATCGATTTCATTGATACTCCTGCTTTGAGGGAAGTTCTACATGTTCATAGTATCGGTAAAAAGGAAAAAAGAATTATAACGCTGTAGCCCTTGTGTTCCCATTGACAAGATATACAGAAGGTAGAAAAGCGTTTTTAAAAATCATTTTAGAGGCTTTTGAACAGAAAGTTTCGATCATATAATTATAATTTTCACAAAACCAGAAGACTTAGAAGAACAAATAGAAACTGAGATCAACAGCGTTGCGAAGGAGGACACAGTCTTCAACGAATTTGTATTTAAGACAGGGAAAAGATACATTGTGCGTTATAAAGGACGAAGTACATAGGATGACTTACGAAACGATTTTTATCAGAAGCTGGGAGAGATTCTTAGCCACAATTATGGACGTATATCTCTCTGATAATTTTCCTTATTTATTTGATTTTCTTAATTCAATCATACATGTAATTTGTAATAATAAATGATTTTCAACACTAAAGATGATAGGACGGAAGTCTGTTTGTGAGAGTATCCACTGTAGAAAGCTATCAAGATAGCAAAATGTATAGTTATAATTTCAAACATATACTTTATTTCATGTGTGTAATAAAATTCTAAAAAATGCTTTTAAAACTTTTGGTAAAAAACTCCAAAAATGAGTATTTGCATGTGCTCTTTTAACACACTGTGTTATGTCATAGCTTTCCGGATCATCTTTTTCTCATCCGGAGTACCTCAGAACTTTTTCTCCAGTAAGCGAACAATTACTATTTCAAAAATACAATTGGAGAAACTGCAAAGATTTTCTTTTTTTTTTTTTTTTAAATATAATGATCAGAAATAAACAAAATACATTGAATTGATATAAAGATAATACAATTATCATATTCTGAACTAAGAACACAGATTTCAAATGACTGTGTACAATCAAGGATAAATAGCACAAACAAATTTTCTTATCTACCGCATACAAGAGTTACAGTATATTACACTACATTTTTTTCCAGAATTTGCAGTGTTTGGTTCTAATTTCATAAAATCAGAAATTGTAGTTATTGTAAACCTGTACCATGTGCAAAGAACGAAGTCCGGGAAATTTATTAGCAAGTCCAAATGTAGGCGTCACCATGTGACTTGTGACGTGGGTACTGTAAATCACTTTTTATTCGCGAGAACTTTATTTTCGCGTCATTAGGCGAGAGGGAATGCTTGCGAAAATTTCATTCACGCGTATCATAGAATTTCTTAATACTATATAGAGCGATGACCACAATTCGTGAAAATTTTGTCTTGC